TATGTCCAACTCATAATATTAGTTGTCAAAATCAATTTATGCTCTTCTTCACAAATTTGATTTGTTTGGCTTGTTGCAACAACAACAACACATCATGTCATGTCACATTACCCTTTCATGTGCCATTAGGCCATTAGTCAATCATCAGCTCTTGCAAGATATCCATCCGTTTTGAAGCCATTCTCCACTGCTCAAATCGTATATCCATCCGTAAGATAATCCATCGGTTTTGTGGGCTAATAATCCGTTTTGTGGGTTCTCGTGTGCTCAACTGGAAGTACGTTGTCACGACACACCAACAACTATCATGATGAATTGATCGTCACTTGTTGAATCAAGATCAAATGCTTTCTTTTTCAAATAGTAATATATTTTTATTGACAGCGTATTACCAGCGCAATTAGAGATGGCTCTTTACGAAGCTGAACGTTTCGGCGTTATGCCATCTTCAGGAACATGTTATTGAATCACTGTCGGTCGTCTTAAGCATTCGTTGGACAGATCCAGGGTCAGAGATTATGGGGCGCTAGGTGGGGGATTATCAATGAGATGACTGGAGAGATAAATAATATTTTGGTTTCTTTTTCAGGGAAGTCCGGTTGTAAACGACAACGTTCAGGCTCGGTTAGGTGTTGGTGCTATGGACAGAGCAACTGCAATAATCCAGAGAACAGCCGCAAACTCTACAAAGCATTCGCGAAAGGTGATCCAGACGAGTTGGAACGAGTCATCGAAGAGATTGAAACATCCGGTTAGTGAGAGAGCAGCAGTTCAGATGAAATCCCCCATGTTTAGTTCTCACTGAAACAACGACTTTCCATCCTTTCAAATATTTCCGTGTGCCCGCATTTTTTCACCTGATTAGGGTGTTCGTTGTTTTTGCATCTCAGAAAGTCTATCTATTATGAATGCTTTCAGATGTCTCTGACTACAACTATAACGAGCCATTACTCAAAATAAACGAACCAATTGATATGGACGACGATTCAAGTGAAGTGGTGGCTGAATCAAAGGAACGCTCACATTCTCGGACTCATGATCGTCATCGTTCTTCAGCTGAAGTTAAGAAGTCAGCTGGGAATGAAGAGCGACCGTCAGAACATCAAGTAAAGATTTCACCAACTAAACTTTTTGAACATCCCAAAAAGGTTGAGGAACACCACCACCACCACAGAGATTCGAAAGAAGCGCATAATTCTGATCGACACGATACAGTCAAATCGCTCAAGCCAGTCACTCATCGACCCATAGAAACCGAGCAGAAGCCGGAGCCGAGAGCGCGACTAGGTTTCATGTATGAAAGACCAGATGACTCTGACTCTGACGCACTCTCAGAAGATCAAGCAGACAGTTCAGAATCGTTGTACACTGAATCAGTGGCTGTGATCAGGACACTGCCCACAGATAAGACTTCAAAAGCATCGAAAAAAACCAAATCAACCAGAACGCAACATACCGAACAAGAGGAAGCAATGGAAAAAGAAGAAGAACGTAAACCATTTGAAGCAGTAGAGCTGCCATCAGAACGACAGAAAGACTATTTGGAGAATGATCATCGAATGAGGAGTTCAGCAGCAAATTCACTCTTAGGAACGAATATTTTTGCGTCGTTTTTAGTTATTTCATTATGTTGGTTTTTTGCTTGAGTTGATTTCCGATTTAGTTCACTATNTTTTTTCTTTCAGTACTGATGATTCGTTTACAATTGTCGTGTATTTCAACAAATTTTTCACTTTTGCACATATATTTTATTAATATATTCGTTCAACTGAGTAATCGTTTAATATTGTTTAACGATAAGTATAATTTTTCATTGCTTTTTTTGTAACATTGAATATGCCCAGTGATCTGTTATCCATTTCTCATAGTTATCTCGGCTAGTACTATCTTAAGCTGCTGCAATCGACTACATGGTAATCGGTGAACATTTTCGAAATTCACCAAGAGATTAACAATTCGTGAAGCAGTCGACTAAGACGTACTATAAACGTGATTATTGCCAAGAACTTGTTGATTTTAGACTTGAATTGAGTGAATTCAAGTGAATCAGCAATCACCTATTAATATTAATATTAGCCATTCAAATGGTTGTTTTTTGAAAGTGTTGCATTGTACAACGACATATTGATGATTTTGATCTATTTTATAACTTGATAGTATTATAAGTTTTTTGTTGAAATTGCTTTACAGCTAATGGCATCTCTAAAAATTTCCTTCAAACCTTCACATAATTCCGTCCATGCGCTATCCACTTATTCATGAGTGCTTTGCTTGATGAAGAGAAGAGAGTCATGAACGAATTATAAGTTTATCGATGAGAAATTCCACGACACGAACACAAAGCAAACATTGAATGAATGAAAGGTAACGGTAAAACATGAAAAAATGATGAATAATAATCAAATCATAAAACTCTAAAGGAATCAGTTCGAAATGATTGTGAATAGTATTTTGTTCTCCTAATTGAGATTTTGCTCACAATCAAAATTTGCCAAATTGTTCAACGAATTCGGCAAGATGCCTTTTCGCATTCACCATTCTCATCGACTGTATTAATTGTTACATTTTCATTTGATTCTTCCCAAATGTTACGACGACGTTCTCCTTGTTGTTTCATGCATCATTTCTTTCTGATTGATTTTTATTCGTTGATATAACAAAATGAATAAAATATATTTCGCCATCGCACTCAATTCTGCATTCATTTGTATTAAGTCCATATAAACTCATGACTTAGTAACTGATGGTTAGACTGAAATGTGTGTGATTGGGCATTTCGGCAGGTTCATTCGAGTATGATCAAGGAATTTGACTGAAGAAGAATGAGAATTTAAAACGATGAAGAATACAGTGGATAACACGTAAAGATCTGAATTTCATAAGGCGACACGAAATTTTGCGTGGAACATGATAACGGCACATATCAAGAAACCAATATTCTTCGAGTATTTTGATTGGGTCGACTGATGGCATTTGATTCGACTGATCTGTGATCCACTTTTTAGACCGTCCTCAGCTCTCCACTGGCGATCATCTCTCGCAGACGATACTTTTGAATTTTGGTGTTGATCC